CATTGTCATGCAATTTATGACCAATTTTCTCAAACATTACGAGTAAGTATTAACATTAAGTTAAAAAAATTACACAAAAACCTTTTACAAAACACTTTTTTTTATTTTTTGATATATATATATAATTTTTATAGAAATTACATTTTAAGAATGAAATCATACATTCTAATAAATTTTATACTACAACACATGTATTGATATAACAATTATGTGAACTGTGCTATTATATATTTGGATGAAAAAGATGATTGTATCTACGGTAGATATTGTTATACAAGATTATTACTTATACCAATTGTTTTTTGAATAATAATAAATAAAGAACAAATTATTGTCAAATTTTGATATTCAGTGCAAAGTAAAAAACAAAAGGGGCATAATCCACAACTTTCAGATTGATGTAATCTTGAGTTTACCCACACAATGACACTGTGTTTTAGAAAAATTAAAACCATCATCATCAGAAGTTCTTTCATTTATGATAAGTTGATGACAATGCATCACTATTAGTGAAATCACCGTAAAGTAAGAAAGAACTTCAGAGTGCTGAGGGCATTGACTGAAAGAAGAGTTTAGATTAGCCTATTTAATAAGATTCTTGTCATCTAACATAGCTCTAGTTTAGACGGACACTGTGAAAGCAATCTGTGACATCTTACAGCACCCATGTATTCAAGTTTCATTAAAATTTATAGTGGTCATAGTGGTTCTTGAGAACTACAAATTGGCTATGTTCTATGCAATCCCAGCCTACTGGAGATTTATCACTATGCCTCAGAGCACCTTTGTACCGTGTTTCATTGAAATGTATTGAGTGGTTCTCGAGATAATAGAAAAGCTTATTTGATAATTATTTAATATGCAGTTAGATTGTTAATTTGCACACATTTTAACAAAGTATGTGGAGTATCCCAGAGCACCTTTGCAGCAAGTTTCATTGATATATCTGTTGATAGGTCAAGGTTTGAATGAAAAGGCTAAAACTTTCCTATTTCTGATTTTTTAGGTGGATTATCTGCACACTTACATGGGAGAGAACTTCCAGTGAAATTTATTACCCGGTATGTCCAGTTTGGGAAATGAAATTTATGTCAGTATTAAACCTTTGAATGTCCTAATTTTTGTTCTTTTGACGCATTATTTGTATGTTTTTTTTTTTTTAAATTTATTTGATAATTTTGGACAAACAATCTTACTGGCTATAGTTCCAGATAGTTCCATTTATATTTTTTTTTCCCTATAAAATGTTTCGTTCCAAATTAAGAATGAATCAGTAAAAATGCAGAAACTGAATAAATTCACCCAAATCAGAGTGGGAAACAAATATGGAGCTCGAAGGGTTAAAAACTTGTAGTTTGGCTAGAAAAGTCAGCTGACCTGCGATGGTTATCACTTATAAGTGTTAGTGTGTGACTATGAACTACAATGTACAAGAACAAAACAGTTAATGGAACAGTTATGACAAAATAATTGACAAGCTAAATTAGATGTGTACATGTTTTGGGTTCGCTCTGTGATTCGCAAAGGAAATTCTAGCTGATATGATAAACAACATTTTACATCTTTGTTCATTGAAGTAGATTCAAATGATGACACATCTACAGATATACATGGTAACACATTAGCAGATAAAAACAGGCTATTCTAGTTAAGTAGAAAACAATCATTCGATATTAACAGATCAAGACGGGTATCCTTGTTGGATTCATTGCGAATCAGGTGGGTATGACTTGTGTGTTTATTCAATTTTTGCCCATGGACGTGGTATATATATAAGTATGACAGCAATGACCTATACTATATGATTGCCACAGAAGATATTCCAGCTGTCCCATGGTAATCTAACTAGCTATTCATTGTGACAGGTGATTTTTACATGTACTAGAAATAGAAACTACCGGTAATGGCTTTATGTCAATTCAAACAGCACCGTATTCTCACAACTATAGGAAACAGTCACATACATACATGTATTATCACATGTGCAATTTGAATAAATGCCATTGAAACAATAATTTAACATTTGGCTAAATAATTTTAGAACTGATAATGCACAGATACTGTTTGTACAAGTGTTGCAAATATGGACAGAAACAGAAATTAACTTACTAAGTACACACAAGTGTGAAAAATCTTTGACAAGCCAAAACCATATTGATCAGTGAGAGGAATATCAAAATGATACAATAAACTCAATCAAATATGATTAAAATAACGACGATGTTAGTAAAATAGAATTTAAAAAATGAGATGGCAAACCATAACTCATTTGTGCGGATACATATTCAATTCTTACAGAATTATTGGTGAATAAAATGACATAGATTCCCTGAAAATTTGTTTCGCGTATAAAAATAAGTTTTTCATAGAATAGCTAAATTTTTATGTACAAAAAAACTAGGAGTGTATAGCACCAATGGTGTGATTCAAAACACTATACAATGCTAGCACTACAGATTGCACTTAGTGTCAAAGTTCAACTTTGTCGGCTTCAGGGTACGTTGGCATTTTCGCTATGTTTGGTTTGTCTTCTGTTTTATATGACGGATAAAGGCCAGATTTATTGATTCGTCGATTATGACCTTTAGAGTAACCATCCCAGTGATTGCCAGCAATGCCAATTGCATCATCCAATTCTAGTGGGATTTCCGCCCCATTACGTGGTATGTGAGTATACAGAACTTTTTCGTCATGGGCATTCTGGCCACCAAAGTAGTAGACATCGTCCAGCGAATGGAAAAAAGTGGAGGCATCTGGGAATCGTGTTTGCATAATTTCATATGCTACCCTACACACCTGAAAATGGAGAACATAAAATATACAATCACGTATTACGCCACAATACAATTTCACTTTAATTAGTCAAGTTGAGCAAAAAGGGAAACACATGGGTTTCTACTGTTTGCATTGAACCTTACTGTTGTCTTAATGATCAGTTATTCTCACGCAAACATTTCCAGTAAAAACACTGACTCACCAATTTTTGAAGAGTCAAAATAACACAAACCGTGTCCATAGTAGCGTTCATGCACAGCTCCTCAGCACAGGCTAAGAGGTCAAATACCTTAGCCCATGCTAAGAAAACGTGCGTGAACACTTAGTACAGGCTAAGAAATGATCAGTATGGATTATATCTGGCCTGTTTTTAAGACCCGGTCCAGATCCTTAGCACGGGCTAACAAAGTTTGCGCGAACACTTAAGCTCAGGCTAAGCATCCAAAAGGCAACTGTATTTAATGTTCATTTGAAATATTTACTATTATATTCATAACTATTCATTTTGGCATGCCATTTCTGACATGACAATCAATGTCAAGACACATAAATAGATGTTCTCGGGAAAAAAAATTAACTGACAATGAGACTATGTGATACTTCCTGTTATTCTGCAATCTACACTTTCTGAATTTGCTTTGGTATTGTTTTGTAATCGTGGAACTAACATATAGAAGTTCCTTAGTCCATGCTAATCAATGTTTCCTCTAGTGCGTGAACGCATTTGGGTCTGATAGGCAAACATATGAGATTAGCTTAAATCTAAGCACATACTTTGTGTAGCGTGAACACTACTCATATGTGGGGCTGTGGTTTACTGTTTATTTGTTTTATTTTTTTAATGTCAAGCATAGAAATAGTATTCATTCCTTCAAGGGTTAACAGTCACAATCCTGTAAAGGTGATTATAGACACTTTAATCTGAGAGTTAACAGTCATGCTCAAAAGATGTCCTATGTAGTTAGAGTCAGTAATCATTACTTCAGATATCCTACATACTGATTATAAACAAAGATAAAATAATAAAATTCACCTGAGATGAGAATGTGCAAACCAGGTAATCAGACTCAGACAGTAAGTGGATGTCGGCAATAACTCCTTTCAGAGACTCTTCAGAGTACCTCTGACCCAGACCGGCTGTCCTTGAAATGTCATTGTCACTCACAAAGATGTAGTCAGGAAACCTACAATAATTTAGTCAGTATAAGCAATGATTCAATGTCAAATACACTGAATTGTTGTCATAACACAGTCAACTGTTTTTCATCATTGTGGCCCATGATTTCAGCGAGGACTAGCCGTCTCAGCAGATTGAATATAACAATGTACAAAGCCTTAGTCATTACTCATTACCAAATGGATATATAGCTTGCTGATGATTTTGATGTAATTATTGTTACATCAATCATGTATATATATTCAATAATGTGTTTGTTGTATCCAATTATCAGTGCAATATGTTGTTTATATCAAGGTATTACACCACTATTATAATAGTTTTTCTTACTTTTGCTTTGCTTCTGATAATAGCTTAGGTTCGTCTGTTGCTAAATAAACTCTTTTGATCGGCACATCACGAATTCTTGATAATCGCTTGTAATACTCCTCCACATGTACCATGTATTCATCTATGTTGTGGAAAGCGGCTTCCGTACCAACTTTGTCAGTACGACGAACATGTACGCTGTAATACAAACATGAATCGTCTATTTATCTGTGTAGTACAAGTTGTGAAGAGCATGGAGGGTGGATACAAAGTGTAGAAGGCGCTTTGAGAAAACAAATGCATTAACTGTAGAGCATGAACGTGCTACCGGTAATACAATATGGATGGTGAAAAATGCTATTATTGTTTTTGAAGTAATCAAAAGACATGACAAAAATCACACAATGAACAACCAGATCGATCGACATAATATCTGATGAAACTATTCTTTGAAAAGGCTACATAGTGAAACATGCTAACCTCAAGAAATGTTGATGCACAAAATGGAATTGATTTCAACAACAGGGGAGTCACAAAACTAGTTTTCAACCATATATAAGCAAAAGATTCATAATCTGGACTCGGAAAATTATCTAACTCAAACTAGAAATAACAAACAGGATCATACATTGTCGTGACAACTGAAATTCACATTTCTGCAATACACACTCATTCATCGTATACCCTAAAAAAAGACGGGCGATCAGTATTGGTGTAGTCATACATGTAAGAAACAGCAAAAACTGGGGTGTTCTATTTTTTTCAAATCTAAGATTAACTATAGTAGAAATAGATTTGGATGAAATTTGATCTAATTATGTCACAGCTGCAATCTTGTCAGTTTAAGGATGTAGTAGACTTTCGTGGTGATTTTTTTTCTTTCATTAAATGGTGACTTATACCTATAGGCAGCCATACGACCTTGCTTTTTTATTAAATCACGTTTTTATTTCAAGAAAAAAACGGCTTTTTAAAAAATAAAAAATAATTTACAATTAACGGAAACCCCGGGAATGTGCACTTCAGCTAAGCCCCTCTGAGTCAAAACAATAACATTTGTAATTAGCTTAATCCCGCAAATAAACATCGCGCGTACGCTTCCGGTCAAATGACCGGATCCACTCACTCGTTGCTGATAGTTCATTGCATCGCTTCTCTACTATATATTACTGTTCATTTATTTTGTTTTGACCAAGTTTATTTTGAAA